AGGAACTTTTCACCATACATGTGAAGTCCTTTTATATGATTAGGATAGGTAAATGGCAGTAATTGGAAAAATATAAGCCAGTTAAAGTTAGGATTTTTAAAATGATGCATATATATGTAAGCATTGCTATTAAAAGTATGTTCATTTCATCCTAGCTGATTTGGCTCAGTGGATAGAGCGTTGGCCTGGGGATTGAGGGGTCCCGGGTTCGATTCCGGTCAGGGGCACATGCCTGGGTTGTGGGCTCGGTCCCCAGTGGGGGGCATGCAGAATGAGCCGATCACTGATACTCTCTCATCATTAATGTTTCTTTCTCTCTCCCTCTTCCTCTCTGAAATCAATAAAAATATATTAAAAAGATACAATAAAAGTATGTTCATTTCACCAATCTTTTGGGGGTAGCCCCCGAGTTTTCTTTGTGTAAGTCTGCTGATTGGAGTTCTCAATTGACTTTATGGAATCTATACAAGCAAATCTCAAATCTGGCTGCACTCCGAGAACTTTTTTAAAAGTACTGATGCCTGGGTCCCACTCCAGACTAATTAAGTCGAAATGAGGAGGGTGCCCTGCTTTAAGTTTCCCAGGTAATTCTAGTGTGCAGTCTGATATGGGAGCCCCTGCTTCTCATCTGTGATTTTCAGGTTTGATTTCTTTAAAATATATTTTTATTGATTTCAGAGAGGAAGGGAGAGGAAGAGAGAAATAGAAACATCAGTGATGAGAGAGAATCATTGATTGGCTGTCTCCTGCATGCCCCACACTGGAGATAGAGCCTGCAACCCAGGCATGTGCCCTGACCAGGAGTCAAACCCTGACCTTCTAGTTCATAGTGGCTCATCCACTGAGCCACCACGGGCCAGGTTTGATTTCTTTAAAGTGGAGTGAGAATTTTAAACTTTTTGAAGCAAGCTAAATGCAGAATCCTTTTGAGATTTTTAAAAATTGTTTTAAGTCCCCTGCCCCTCCAATCTTTCAGTTGCCTTGTCTACTCCCAATTCAACAATTTTCAAAATGTATACTCTTTTGTATTGTCTTTCATAGGAACTGTTGTTTTTTTTTTAAATATTTTTATTGATTTTTTACAGAGGAAGGGAGAGGGATAAAGAGTTAGAAACATCGATCAGCTGCCTCCTGCACACCCCCCACTGGGGATATGCCCGCAACCAAGGTACATGCCCTTGACCGGAATTGAACCTGGGACCCTTGAGTCCGCAGGCCGACACTTTATCCACTGAGCCAAACCGGTTAGGGCTAGGAACCATTTTTAATGCACTAATATTTCATTGGTTTATGTAATGTTTACTTACATTATTATATAAATATAGAAAAACAACGGCACAAGCAGGTTTGGAATCACACATAACTGGCCCAAGTATTCTGGGCAGTAAAGCAGATTTTGGCACACTAGACAGGAGCCTACCAGACTCTAGTATCCAGTACGCTATGGGTATTGGTCATATAATCCAGTGGGTCAATGAAACCAGGCTCCTGGCGCAGTTGACCATCCCTCCCTTCCACTCTCTCCAACTAATATCACCAATACCTACTTAAATTTTCTTGAGTGTTCCATCCATTCTTTCCATTCATTCACATCAAGCTGTTTGTTCCTCTTCAAGCAGTTATCACCATTGCCTTAATAAGTTGGGAGAACATTAGACAGAGGTTCTAAAGCTGGACTTCTGAGCAGCCAGTGAACCCCCTGAGATTAGATATAATGTGTGTGAATATTTATTTGGGGGTGGAGTAGTAGTCATAACTTTCTGAGTGCCCATAACTTTTATCTGATTTGCAAAGTTTCAGGATCTAAAAAGTTGAGAAGCACGTAAGTTGAGTATTACTACAAGTCCTCTAAGGCCCTTAAAACTGTACCATCAAGACACATTTCAGCCGATACTTCTCTGAATAAAGATTTAGGGAACTCAGCAGGATCATATCTAGTCTTTCTAACTGTCTCTTGCTTTAACCATAAGCCTAGGCTCAAGCCTAAAGTTCTGAACATCTATCTTTTCCCCCTAGGATTATGTGAATGCCTAATCTGGTAGCTTAAAGCTGCTCATTCCTTTTTGCCATCTGTCAGGGGTATGGCAAGCCCAAAGGGAAAGAAGGGCAATATCCTGACTATTTTTTTATTAGTGAACCACTAATTTAATTCTCATGAACCACTCTCTAGTTGTAGTTTTTATTTTAAAGTCAGATTCTTCCAGGGAAATACCCAGTTAAACAGCTATGGCTTAATTTAAGCCACCATCTATATTAGGAAGTCTTCAGTAACTTGTGTTTTGCATAATTGGAAAAGTGGACGTATACAGTACACCAAATACAGTATTTGCATTACTGCTTATTACATTGAACTATCAAGACGATGCCATGAGAATCTGAAGGATAGCAAACCACATAAATGAAATCAGAATGCTTCCTTATAGGCTTATAGCTGTGCCTGCCTTATTTCCTATGTGGCAGTCTTCATCCTCATACTGGAGGATGCTACATTTATTCTTTATGCTACATTTTTCTCATATCCAAAGTGTTACTGTGTCCTTAAAGAACAGGGTACAAGATTGTAAGGGTGAGGGTGAATAAAAAAAAAAAACAGGACACAAATAAGGTTAAGTAGATGTCAAGTGTTGCAATCAAAGTATTCTCCAGCTTAAGTTTGGTGGTGTTCCTGTGGGTTTAGACTTGACTGTGCAAGCAATTCCTCACCAGTTCCTCACAGGCCACTCAACCATGTCCGGGATGAATCTGGAGGGTGAAGGTAAAGCTACCACACTGGCAATTCAGCTGGCAATCAAAAAGGATTTATATCCAAATTATGGATTCAACTCTCCTAAAGCAGTGATTTTTATACTTTTTTAAAACTGCAAAATCCTTTCTGGAGTTATAACCAACTTTCAAAATATAAGAAGTAAAAAAAAAATCACATGTAATTTTCCTCTTGTGCCTGTTAAAATCTGGACTCTGCAAAAACAGATTGAAAACTAATTTTAAAGAATTCAGTTTTTGCCTCACTTCCCCTATTGTCTAGGAGGATCATTACCTTATATCAGAATCACCCCATGAGGCTGAAGTAATGATACAGCTATTTATTGAGCCTTTGTTCTAGGTATATAGTCAAGTGCATTTTTTCACTTAGTCTTAAACTTGTGAGTTATAAAGCTTAGAGCAGTGATGGCGAACCTTTTGAGCTCAGCGTGTCAGCATTTTGAAAAACCCTAACTCTGGTGCCGTGTCACATATAGAAACTTTTTGATATTTGCAACCATAGTAAAACAAAGACTTATATTTTTGATATTTATTTTATATATTTAAATGCCATTTAACAAAGAAAAATCAACCAAAAAAATGAGTTCACGTGTCACCTCCGACACGCGTGTCATAGGTTCGCCATCACTGGCTTAGAGGGTTAAATTACTTGCCCAAGTACAAGCAGCACCCTAGGAAGTGGTGGAGCCTCCACTAACCTCAACTTTGCTTCACCCCAGACTTTCACCTCTAACAGCTGATTTGGGCCGTGCCTACACATGATACCTTAGCACATAGCAGGTACTCAGTAAAAATAGATAACTTTACATATACCCAGCACTGTCTCCATTTTTTACACATGAGGAAACAGACTCATGTAAGTCAGTAACTTTGGCCCAAGAGCATGCAGTTGGTGACAGAACTGGGGTTCAAACTGCAGACTGGCCTCATTTAAGAATCATATTTTTACCAACTGTGCCATACTGCCTCCATTTACCCTCTTAAGGTTCTCTTCACTATATATTGCCTTTAGGTTCTGCATGGACTTCAGTTAAGTTTTGCTTGTTAAAAGGGAATGGTGACATTAAAATGCTTCTGGGTTTTTCTGTTCATCATATAAAACCCCTCATTACGCTGCTCTATTTGTAATTTTCTGGACTTGAGATTTTTCTCAATTCGTCTTGTAGCACTGCATAGGAATCCTGTCCATCTTTATTAACATGTCTCTAAGGCCCACACGGGGAGCTGAAGTAAAATTCAGTCAACAGGATTATCCTGGGGAATAACAGCAGCAGGTATTTCAGGAATGAAGCCTGGTCAGGGGCTATTCCTGAAATCCCCACTCAGAACCAGTGGTGCTGCTGGGCGGCTTGCAGGACCTACTTACAGTTTATGAACCTGCCCACCTGGGCCTGAGAAGAAGAGATTAAGAGCTGCAGGCCTTCCGCCCTGTGTGAAGGGGGCTGTTAAATTCTGAGGGGTCCCTAGGCTCCCTGGAGAGAGACTGAGCAGTTGGAAGAGACAAAGGCTGGGGGGGAGGGGATAACCTTTGTTCCAAGGATGAGTTGGGGGAAGAAAACATTCCCTTCTCTCTACCCTAGTGGGGTGGGGGTGGGGTGAGCCCCATTTATCCTAGATACCTGACCTATCTCATCCTACTGAGAAAAAAAATTAAAGCTATCAGGTTTTAGGGTTTAAAGGCACTATATTACCCCCCCCTCCCCAACCAACAAGGGACAGAAAGGGGGATTGGGCAGAGGAACAGTGCTGTCCTACCTTCTAGATTTTCATATAGTATTCCCAACCTATCTCCACATTCTAGAGCTAATGAGTTGTTAGGAGCTAATGAGTTTATAACAAGAGGAGATTACTGCTCCTCTAGTTTTTGTAGTCGAGTCTTTATATGTTGTGACTCTTGTTCCATGAATGTAGTGAAGTAAGTTTGTATTGGAAAGGTAAAGGCTATATAAGGATGTTTTCCTTGACATCTAAAGACAGATTTTCCTCTTGGTGAAAACACTCACTAGTCATGTGACTGGGTAATTATGGTTTTTTTCATACACATAATAGGAATTTTAGCCGGCTCTGACTCATAGGGTTATGAAAGTAAATGAGAAATTGTTAGAGCACTTTGAAAGCAAAACAGTACAGTACACATAGAAAGTTGATTGTTTTAGAGTACAGCATTTTGTTTGGTAGAAACTGAGCAGTGGGCCAGAAGAGGAATCCTAATGACTGAGCTGTTTCTCTGCTTACAGCTATCTCTGAAGGGCACAGATCAGAAAGCAGCATGCCTCCTAATAAAGAGGCCGGCAATCTTAACACCTCCCCTGCGGGGCTCATCTGCCTCCCTCCGATCTCCGAGGAGCTCCAGCTTGTGTGGACCCAAGCAGCCCAGACCAGTGAGCTGGATGGCAATGAACACCTGCTACAAACCTTCAGCTACTTTCCCTATCCCAGCCTAGCAGACATTGCCCTTCTCTGTCTACGCTATGGGCTGCAGATAGAAAAAGTCAAGACCTGGTTCATGGCCCAGCGCCTCCGCTGTGGCATCAGCTGGTCATCTGAAGAAATAGAAGAGACTCGAGCTCGAGTGGTATATCACAGGGACCAACTCCATTTCAAATCTCTCCTCTCTTTTACTCATCATGCAGGGCGGCCCCCAGAGGAGGTGCCTCCTTCTCCAATGCCACCTCCAGAACAAGTTAGTCTTGGAATAGTGCCCCTGACTCTCAGTGAGCCTGCCCAGATGAAAGGATTGAAGGTAGAGCCTGAGGATCCCTCAGAGCCAATGAGTCACCAGAGAGCAAAGGAGCCTCTGATGGCGCCTGGCAGTGGGGCATTCTCCCACCAATCAGGATTTTGGCAGGATATTCAAAGCAGTGATCTCTCTAAGGAGCAGGCAGGCAGGGGTCCTGACCAATCACATGGCCTAGGTACTGCTTCCTGGAACCACTCTACAGCTGTCCACCAGCCACAAGCTCGGGATAAAGCCCCACCAATCTCATTACTTGCCAGTAGTTATAAGCAGGGGTCAGCATGTAATGTGACTCCTTCTTGCTCTACCTCTTCCTCTTTCCAGATACTGGCTAATGGAATTACAGTCACCTCTAAACCCTCCCAGCCACTGGGCTGTCTCCCACAGTCCCTGTCACCCAATGAGCAGGCTCTACCCATACATGTGGAGCCAGCCTGGCCCCAGAGGCTGAGGCCTAACTCGGTACTAGGCAGCATTGGCCCTGCAGAGTACCTTTCCCCTGATACCCAACGCCAGCGAAAGACCAAGCGCAAAACCAAAGAGCAGTTGGCTATCCTCAAATCGTTTTTTTTACAGTGTCAATGGGCACGGCGCGAGGATTACCATAAATTAGAACAGATTACTGGTTTACCTCGGTCTGAGATTATTCAGTGGTTTGGTGACACACGCTATGCCTTGAAGCATGGGCAACTAAAATGGTTTCGGGACAATGCAGTACCTGGTGCCCCTAGTTTCCAGGATCCAACAATTCCCACACCATCGCCTTCAACCCGCTCTTTGAATGAATGGGCGGAGACACCACCTCTGCCAGTGCCCCCTCCTCCACCGGATATACAGCCCTTGGAGAGGTACTGGGCAGCCCACCAACAGCTACGGGAAAGCGATGTCCCTCAACTGAGTGAGGCGTCAAGGCTTAGCATCCAGCAGGTACTGGATTGGTTTGATTCTCGTTTACCTAAGCCAGCTGAGGTAGTGGTTTGTCTAGATGAAGAGGAGGAAGAGGAGGAGGAAGAACTGCCTGAAGATGATGAAGAGGAGGAGGAGGAGGAGGAGGACGATGACAGCGATGATGATGATGATGTGATCATACAGGACTGAATGGGGGCTATGGGAGGGGCAGCCTTACTAAAAGACGAACCAACTTAGTAACTGTTTAAACAAAGAAACCACATTTTAAAAATTACCTTGTGGCAAAGAACTGAAAAGCTTTGTGTTTTTTAAGTTGGGGGAAAGGTGGATATTTTGAGGGTGGACCAGGGAGGATGAGCATAAGGCACAAAGTGAGGTAGGGATTGAATGAGCAGAAATTCAGGCCTTAGCTTCAGGGAAGAGTGCTAAGGATCTGGTCCTTTACCTATGGGCTGGGCCAGGGCTCTTGTTCTCATCTGCTTTTCTTTTCCCTTAGTATACCACAGGGGAGCTATGCCTTAGTCCCACGTCTATAGGAGGATTGGAAAGGCGGAGTAAAGAATTTTGATTCCAGTGCATCCCTAGTTCAGGCTTAGGGAATGTCCGGTCCTGCCAAGGCATTAGGGGTGAGTTAATTAATTAAATGTTTGACCCAAATAGCAGGCTAATTTTTAAGTTTATAATTTTGTATGGCCCAAGAATGATGCTATAAATATCCTAATGGCCCTTGGCAGAAAAAGGGTTCCCCACCCCTGGCCTAGTCCCACCATTTTTCCTGGAATATAAGGCTGCCTTGCACCTCTCCTTTTCTCTGAGCACAAGTCCACCCTTAATGCAGCTAAGAATCTCAGTATGTCCCAGTCTCACAGATACTTAAACTCTTCCTCATACCAACTCCCATGTTTTACCTGCTTCATCGCTGAGTCGCAGAGGAAGCAGAATGTTTTTTCTGATACGGGGACCACTTTGCCTTGTACCTTTTTATCTCTTTCCAAAATCCCCATTCTCTTCGCTATGTCTCAGGGTAAATCTTCCCCATGGAGCTTGTGAAAAAGTTTAATAACTGGGTGGAGAATAATTTAGACTGGATATTTATTGGAGGTGGGAATTAGGAGAGATGTCTTTTTTAAAAAGTAGAATTAGGTTACGGAAAGGTATAGGAGAGGGGATGGTTTCTACTGTTCGGAGGACTACAGGTGGACTCCAGGTTTGGTTTTACAAACCTGACACCCTCCTGCTTAACTTGGCAGAGGCTGATTTTTCATCTTCCTGGTGTTGGTTCAATTTTGTATCCGGAAAAGAGACTTTCCCCTCTCTTTATAGGATCTGTCTCGAGGGCAGAGGGATCATGGTCTTTGACTGAATTATATGTTTAAGAATGGTTTTCATCAGTTGGGGGTCAGGTATAATGATATCAATGAATTAACCATCTAGAAATAAGAGTGGTAGCCCCAAACTGCTAGAATAATAAAAAGGCCAAAAATAAAATTGTTTCTCTCTCCTCCACTTTGCCACTTCTATGCTTTAGAGATTAATGTAGCCAAATACATTAACATTCTGATTTAATATACATTTTATTTATTCTTGAAGCAGCAAGATATATTGAGGTAAATTAAAAGAACAATAACTTTGCCCTGGCTGGGTAGATCATTTGGTTAGAGCGTTGTCCTGATACACCAAGGTTACGTGTTCAATCCCCCTAGTCAGGGCACATACAAGTATCAGCCAATGCATGCATAAGTGAAACAACAAATAGATGTATCTTTCTCTCCCTCAAATCAATAAATATTAATAAAAAAGAACTTTGAAAGGCAGTAGATCAGTATCACTAGGCTGATTGTTTCCTATACCTGCTACAGCACCGGCTCTTGCTCAGAAGATGAAGTGTGTCTGGAAATGCCTTTAAAAATAAATCCAGAGTTCCAGAAAGGGTAGTGGCATCTTAGTTTATCTACAAGGTCATTCCCAAGACCTATTTATTTCTGGCAGATGCTTGCTATTTTACCTCACCCCCAATATTTTTGCTTAAGGCCTGCCTGCCTGTGGCCTACCCATTTAATTCTACCCCTTAGTACCCAAAGAACAATACATAATTGATCTCAGTGGTATTGTTCTTTGCCCATTCCACCATCCTAGAGCTTGCAATACTAATAGAATTGCAATAGCAATAAAAGGACGTCTTTATTATCTATGTACTTTAGTAAGCTGAACATCTTGTCTCCAACTATTATCAGACAGAAAGGAAAATAAACATTTAATAATAACTAGGCATAGAGGAAACAATAGGCAAAATGAAAAAAAAAGTATAATAAATTAGGACAGGGAACAGAATTGTTACTTGTTAACATTGGCAATGGGAGAATATGTCCAAAACTAGAAAATGAAACCCAAAAGTAAAACCTAGTTAATGAGTATATTACCCCCACCCCCAAGGATGACAAGAGATGTTTTTATAACCTTTGTTTCAAGTTGTAGGAAATAAGAGGGCTACATGTCTTGTGGGAGAAATGTAATCTTCCTGAAGCACTAGCCTTATATAATACCTAACCACTTTCTAAGGAGGTAATATAGGGTGTACATAGTAAAGATAGAAAGTACAGAATGAAACCAGCCAGGGGTACATTTCCTAAGGCCATCATGCCTAATGGGTATTGGATGCTAGTCTGTCCTTCAGTAGCATGTATAGATCAGACCTTGAAGATGTTCTATCTGGGGTTGGTCCATGCTTCTCTCCCCCTGGCTAATCCCATCTGCCTTTGTTGGTAGAGAGTCTGCAGCAGAAGAGAGAAGGCAGATACGGATGTTTATAACCAAAAGGGCAAATAAGGACCTCTCAGGCTATTTTATGAAATTCATTAGGACAGCAAACCACCACCATTGCTTTCACATAGTTTTCTCCATTGCATGATAACTTTTCCAAACTAAGATTTGAGACATCACAGGCTTTATCGCTACTTATGAAACGGTGGTATTTCAGTGTGATATTATCTGGTGGTGATAAGACTTCTATTTTAGAAGACCCGGAACATAATACCCACAGATGATTACCAGGGAGGCAGAATTATGCCTCCAGGGAGGTGGCACTTCCTTCAATAACTCTTTCTTTAAAAACTTTGTTATAGAAATTTAAAACAAAAGTATAGTAGTGTAATGAACTCACATGTACCCATCACCCAAATTCAACAAACAACTCAAGGCCTATTTTTCATTTCTACTTTGTCACTGCGCCTCTCCACTATATTATACTAAAGCAAAAACCAGATAATCACTTAACTTTCTATCCATTAATATTTTAGTATGTATCTCCAAAATATAAATTATTTTTAATTTCATTTTATTTTGTTAATCCTCACCTGAGGATATTTTTCTATTGATTTTTAGAGAGTGGAAGGGAGAGGGGGAGAGAGAATCATCGATGTGAGAGACACATTGACTGGTTGCTTCCCAACACACCCTGATGGGCTAGGAATCGAACCTGAAACCGAGGTATGTGCCCTTGACTGGAATCGAACCCGAGACCTCAGACCAATGCTCCAGGGCAAAATCAACTAGGGCCAGATAGACTATTTTAAAAAATATAACCACAATAGCACTATACCTACCAAAAACCCCCCAAAAACAACCTGTTAATAATTCCTTAATATCAAATGTGCAAGAGGTATTCAATTTTCTTCAACTTTTTCATAAATGTTTTTTTACAGTTAGGGCCCATATCTTTGTAGATGGTTTATACATTTCAATTATTTTCTCATCTGTAGGATAATTCCTCCATTTGTGAGGATCTTAGAGCAGGATGTTATTTTCCCAGTTTTCCTAGACCCT